CTTTACAATTATTTGATGTGGTTTCAGTTATCAAAGTTGATTAACTTTTTAATTGAAATAGCTATTTGAATGTGAAACAAATTACCATCAATAATTCTAACTCAACTGAAAGATAGAGCAGAGAATGTTGAAGTATTTTTCATCTACCATAATCCTAGTAAGACTGTATTTGAAGCACGTTTTCTACATCTGTGATAAGCATTATCTTTCGATTCTTTTTCTAAAAAAAAAAAAGAAACTTCTTTATTACTTTCATTCTTATCAAAAAATTGATGATAAATTGACTTGCTAGAACAACTTTAAGATTTAGAAGTAAAAATTTTAATTTCACAGTTTTATAAAATCCTAGTTAGTTAACTTTTATAAATGTCTTTCAGAAAATAAAATTACCACTTATCTATTAAATTAAAACTAAAATTTAAAAAATGTAAAATTAAAAAAAATTTTTTTTAATTTTATTTATTTTTACTTATTAATAACTTACTTAAATATTATTTATTATTATTAAATTAAAATATTAATTAAATTACCACTTATTTATTATCACTTATTACCTTTTTATCAGAATGAGACTTATTACTGATACAATAATCTGATAATAAATGTAATTAAATAATACTTTTTTATAAATAATTATTAGTAATTTATAAGATTTTTTCTGAAATGAAGAAATATTAATAATAATTATTTCTAATGATAGGGATTATAAATATGTTGATGTATACTTGACGATATTTACACGTTAATCCTTTCATCATCGAGTGAATCAGGGCATAGACCTTTCATCCTGATTGTTCCACCAAACTGCACGCACTCACGTATAGTGTATACTTGGTTGCTAACATTCTCGTCATCTGCTGCAGCTGTAAAGGTGCACACGGTGTTGTCGGTGCGAAGAAAGTATGAAGCGAAGAAAGAAAAAGGAAAAAGAAAGGTAGAAAAAAGTGAAAACAATGTGAGCCACAGGAAATTTTATGTTAACGCGTTATCGTATTGCAGTGTTGTCAATTATCTTTTTTCTTCTTTTACGATTGTTTTGCCATAAAAAATCCGCTTGGTACATTAATGGATCTGGTGAAGACAGAGAAAATGAAAAAAAATAAAATAAAATCTTGTTAAAAGCAGAGTGAATGTCAAAAAAAATATATTTTTTATCCTACGTAATTGTGAACTAAAAATTTTTTATCTCTACTCCATTTTGAATGACTTGCAGCAATTTTTCTGAATGATCGGTGTATTGCCATTGACCTCAAGAGGAAGAAACAGAATTATGAATACTGAATAAAAAGAATAAAAAATAAAATTAAAATTGAGCAGAGAAAGCGAATAGCCTCAGGATAATGTATTTGGAAGTTGAAATGTTCATTCAGACAAACAAAAATATTGCCTTGAGCTACTACAGATCAGTTCTATCACTGAAATTTAATGGATAACAGAAAAGTTTTAATAATCGTTAAATTCATACCAATGAGCTTCATTATGATATCAATGAGTCACTGCCTAATTCTTACACAAAGTGACATACGATATGATTTCTTGCAATACGAGTACTAATTTGCGTGTCAAACAGACATAAAACGATCGATGTTGTGAAAGGAATGCTGGCGTGAATCATTATTCAATATTGCATGTCTGAAAGAACTTTTGAAACAAATCATCGTTTGTGGCAAACTCTTAATGATCTCTAATTATTAACTCAGGATATATTTTTTTAATACTTTTTTAAAATCAGTTGACCTGAGTATCGGCTTTGTTCTTCAGTTATTGAGATGTGAAATATATCAATTATTTGTAAAAGCAACAATTAAGAAAGAACAACTAAATAAGAAATCAGTAATATTTGTAAAGAGATGATTGGATTAGTTGTAAGCAATTGGAACTCTAGCTTCAATTTTTTGTTCTAATTTTAATTAATGATTGATTATGTGCAAAAATTATCAGGAGGATATGAAGTAAATAATCGTAATCAATAGGTAATAATGACTACATTAAATTTTGTTAAATTATTTCTGGATAAATTAAAAAAGACATTAAAAAAGTAACTAGAAGTTGAAAAAATACTTTTAAACTTGAGATGTAATTTACTGCTTAAGAAATCGGCAATTTTTAAAACATGACATTTATTTAAAGAAAAAATCATTAGCTAAAATTAGCATGAATAGATTTTCCAGATATTTACCTTTATTATTTTTATTTAGCTAAATATTATCTAGTAACACATACAGGTTTGCAGTGTGGTATGTAATAAATTATGTCACTAGTTTCAAAGAATTAGCTGTCTACTATAATTGATAATAGAGAATGTTGGGAAAGTAATCTTTTTCATAATTTTATTTGAGATAAGTCAAAGATTAATTAAAAAAATAATAAATCTTTAAGTAATTGGCATTAATGGATTTAAGTTGAGAATCTATTAGATTAAATCAATGAAAAACCGTAAAATATTAGTCAAAATCATGGATAATTTACTGATTATTAGTGTCAAGTTCACTATTGATGAGACCTATCAACAACTTGACACTTTAAAACAGTGAATAGTTACAGATTTATACTTTAATAAAAGAATTTCTTTCTCTTTTTTCTACTGTTATTTTAATATGTATCAGTAATAGTTATTGAAAAGTAGTTAAATTCACTAAATTCGCACTGATAAGTATTAATTGAAGCAATACTTTATTTTCAATTGTAAAATCACTTACTCTGAAAAAAACTTGTAATTGTAGGAGCAAGTCAAAGTATAGCCGAATTAAACTGCTGTCACAGCAATCCTTATGTCTATTCTAATTATTTGGATAGCTGTTATAACTATGCAGATAGCTGGTACAACTATCTCAACTATATGTATAAGCAAGTACAGTATTGTTATAATAGGAATACTATGAATTTTACAGGTCAGATAGTTAATTTAAGTGTTCCTACAACTTGATATTTTTTTCAGTGCAATATTTATAATGTTCTGAAGTAATTAACATTTTCAAATTTTACTGAAAATTTTTTTCAGCTTCATTTTTCACACAATATTCAAACATAAAATACCTCAGGAAAATAAATACATTATGATGAATACCCACATTTTATAATTACATACAATATCGCATGACTGAAGGAACATAAGCAACATATAACAAATTGTTGTGAGCTGTAAATAGTAAATGATCTCTAATTATCAACTGGATTTATTTTTTCTTTCATTGGAACCAACCAAGCAGTCAATCCTCCAAGAAAGATCAACACGCATGGGGTGGAGCCTCAAGTCAAGATTCTCTTTTTGTTTCGTTGTGTTTCTTAAGGTGGTCTCATCAATTTTTTTTTCAAATTTTTTATGTCTACACCGATTACTTTTCACCTTTTTCATATTCGTGCTTAGAACTACGTATTTAATGTGTGTACATATGTGGACACTAGGGGGATATACTCTTTTACTTTACTTAGTCGTTAAGCTAGTACACGCACTTATAGGACGTCATTCATGTCAAAGTATTTCATGCACAAACATGTATGCACTCAAGAGAGACAACAAATGAACGTCATGGATGTCTGATTCCAGTGGGAAACCGGAAACCAGTGATTTCAATCTCAGAAAGACTCTTTTCTTTTAAACTTTTACATGTAATGAGAGATTAATTTACCAACATATTTTTGCATTACATTAAATACATCATAAAATAGAATATAAGAAATTAAACTTTTAAGTGAAAAAAAATATTCTATTCAACATGAATTGATAAAAATGGATAAAAAAAGTATTTGTTCATCAAACACCAATACCTATCAAAAAAAAATAAGAAAGTGATGATGAAATATGGTATAATAATTCTAAAATAATTGAATACATATCACAGATTTCAATTGTTCAAATAAGTTAATTGAAAAAAATATATTTTCTTTTGATGGTTATAAATTATTTTACATAGTGGAACATGTCAATGCTTTTTATTCATTGATTCTTTTTCCTTGACACATGTTGATATCTTATTGAATGATCAATTATGATGTACATTCATTCATTTAGATTTCGAGGTACTTTTGTAATAATTCCAGTTCTAATATATAGGTTGTATTGTCCAGGTAAATTTCATTTTTTTTTTACATATTTACAAACAAGAACATATGGAGACAAGCAATCCAATTATTGATCACAGTTGTTTGATTAATTAAAAACAAATAAAGGGAAAAATAAATAGAATATATTTCTAGTTCATATGCTCTTGAATTAATCACTATACATCAGTTATTATTAATTGCTTATTCACACATTTTATCAAAGATTTATTTAACATTGATAATTAAAAATAAGCCACTTGATTATTAGTGTCTCTTTCTTTTTAAAAAATAAAGCTCACATTTGTCTATGAATACTAACTATCTTGAAAGAGTCTTAAACAATTCTTTCATAGTAGGAGTCATGAACGGGGATTTTTTGATTTAACAATCAGCCTGTCAAGATTAAGATTTTAATGACTTATTTTATAATTTTATAATAATTACATTTAACTAAAGATCATGGCTTTATGGTATTGAACTGCAAACGAAGTATAGACTTCAATAAGATGTAACTAATAGTAACTATTGATGTTCACTTCGTTCTATAAATTATTATTTTATCATTTTTAACTCTTTTTCTCATGATTGATTAATTATCAATGCATTATTGATTATCATGAATTGATATATTGCTAAGAAAATACTATAAAAGCTACATATTATTTCATCAAGAAAGAATCATTTCAACTCAATTCAGCTTTTAAATATTCAATATTCTGAAGCAACAGCTAAACAATAAGAAACTTCATTACTATCATCTATGGTTTAATATTTAATATACGTAATAAAAGGTTGATCAATTAATTTTTATTATTAAAAATTAATTAACGGCCTCTATAGACATGTGAATTGAAAACAAGAATGTAATATGAATTTAACAAAATTGAAATTTAAATACTGAACTAGACCTAAATTTTGTTCAAACTGATAATAATTGTTTTTTTCCTTATTTGCAGAGCTCTAACATGGGTCAAGAATTGCTGGATCGTGTGTTTCGACATCTTAATCTATTAGAAACAGCCTACTTTGGACTTCGCTATTTGGATCACGAAAATCAGACGGTGAGATTAGTCACGAAATAGATATGTTCAGTTGGAATGTTTTGCTCAAATTGGTCAGAACAAAAACTTGCTTGAGTTTAGTAAATTATCGATTTAAAAGGTTTCCTCTAGACAAAAAAAAAGAAACATTTACTTTTAATACAATTTTACAATAGTCATATACATTTGAATTTCATATTTAAATATTTTAAAAAATATTTTTTTTTAATAAATGTTTCTTGTTAATAAAATAATTTCTATAAGAAATGATTAAAATGTTTGCTATCTTTTAAGTATAAAATACTGAGAAAAAAACTGCATTCTTAAGTAAATGCATTTACTCAATTGTTAAGATCACGTAAACGCATTGTATATTGCTTGAATTAATTATCATAATAACGAACCTTAATCGTTATAATGGTATGTTTGCTTGTAAAAAAGCCAACTAGTTTTTTGTTTATTTCAATTTTATTGTGAATACAAAAATTCCAAATACTCAGTTATTTTCTTTGTTCTATTTAATAGTAATTACTATTAAAATGTATAATCAAATAAATAATACTTTGTTGATTTTCATCAAAAAAATATACCGTTTCTGATATATTTTATGAAACAATTGAACTTAATGGTCTCATTAAATTACGTATTATATGCACTGTAAATCTCAGTATTCCAAAATGCATTGTTTTAATGCGGATCAGTGTGTTAAATATGACGTCACCCATTTGATTAACATTGTAGTCACTTTTTACACACTTAGAAATGCGTTAAAAGAAACTACAATGTTAATCAAATGGAATATTTAACACACTTATCCACACTTTTTTAAACAAAAACAATTTCTTGTATACAGGATACTTTTTTACTTTTTGAATTATCCCATTTTACTCTAGTTTTTTTTTATTTACATTATAACGTCCTGAACTTCCCTGATAGAAGTAAAGACATTGTTTTATACATTACTGCTAACTCAACTAAAAAAAAATAAAATTAATATGTGTTCTTTAATGACAGAAAAACCCATCCCAACTAGTACATTTTAATTTAGAAAAATATGTAGATGCAGATAATAGACTCACAATCGACCTTAGCTAACATTTTCTTAACAGACATTTTATTAGTTCTTTTTAATTAATTTTTCTTCACATTTAAACTTTCTTAATAACTAAAATTATAGCAATAATTAAGTCAAAAAAGTTAGTTAGAGAACACGGAAAGACAATCCAGAGTATTCCCAGTAGTGGAATGGAAATGAAATTAGAGAAACTTTATCAGAAGTGTAGGTAATAAAAATATTATTATTGATAAGTTATTAGTAAAGAGATGGCACTTGAATTGGCTTATCCCAATAGCAGACTAACTCAAATTGAATTCACCCTTTCAAATTAATTCCCGTGATCGTAAATCCTCATCGGCTTACGAAATGACGTGCTGTTGATAACTTGAATGTGCCTGCGGGGGTTCTCACATCCGGGGTGGAGATCATTGAGAACCAGGAAACGTTTGGACTTGGCTAATTTCCGTTTGACTGACTTGTGTCACTTTATAGAAATCTATCAACCTGCCAATCTAGTATCATCATTTTAATTCTGTTAATGTTTCATTACAGCAGTGGCTTGATCCAAGCAAGAAAATCGGCAGACAGTTGAAGATTCGGAAGGGATACACATCGACCCAGGATTCAACCTCTGACACTCATACGCTTTATTTTGGCGTGAAATTCTATGCCGCAGATCCTTGTAAACTCATCGAGGAAATCACAAGGTGAGCAAGATGTACGTGTTAGGGTGATACTTTGTCGGTTAGCAAACCAGATAAGAGAGAAGGAATATTAAGACTCGTGCAGGACCTCCAGCAATCATCTAACTTTCGAAACTTGCCCACTGCTTGGCAACCCAGGGGGCTCCCGAACTTGCTTCCAAGGCCCAGCAATTAACGGGACGGGCCAATTATCCCTAACGAAAAAGGGGTAAATTATAGAGTATCTTTAGACCATAGCTTTGAACTCTTCGCTTCCAGGTCTTCTTCCGTGCAATCCTTGAATTATTCCCCATGATTTTTGCACGATGCCTCAGGCTTTAACAAAAGTAAATTGCAGGGATACCTTCTACTGATTTGAATTTTCGGAGGCCATTCCAATCGATTTCTAATCATTCACAAGAATTTTTTCTTGCAAAATTACCGCCTGTTACATTTCTTCTGCTATTTCTTTGGAGAGGATAAAAAAAAATGAATTCTTTGGTTCACAAAAAAATGTTTTTGAATAGAAAGGATTTTTTTCTCTTTAGTGATTCATAGTTACAGATATGTTGGAGGTTTCCAATCTTATATAAATAACTCTTCGTGTTGGTTGTTACATTTTGAAATAAAAAGCAGAAAATATTTAAGTAGTCTTCAATCATGAGTTTTAATAACACCGAATAAATTACTAGATTCATTTGTTAATATTATCCACATTTTTTTAAAAGAGAATCAGTGTATGTACCCTGATTCTAACAGTACCAATTATCTCTGTGTACAGAGTAATATTAAGTCTTCAAGTAGAAATAGTTAAAATAGTGCATCAATAAAGCATTGAAATTAAAACCAATTTGACACCAATGATTATATCTAATTTCATCATGTTCTTGTAATATGAATTTCATTCTTTCAATGTATTGAACTGTAACATGAAAAATGACAGCCTCTATGATGATGACTTACCTGGAAAAAAGTTTTTAGCTATGATGACATAATAGCTAATTAAACCAGTACTGTAGAACTTTTCATACATTAAGATCATTTTAAATTTTGTTTGTTTTTTGATTTAGATTTCATTGGATTAAAAAAGTAGTAAATGGAAATAAAAAATATGACATTTCTGATAGCAAAATTAATATTTGTTTTGTAACAATGTTCACCATGATATTATTGAAAAAATTTGCTTTCTATGATAAGTATCCAGACCTAAACTTTTTTGTCTCAGTATTAGTTGTGATGAATGATTTAAAACATCAAATTTACCATTATTGTTATTTAATGAATACTTTACATAATTTATCACTCTCAATATATTCTTTTTATGGTATTATCTTTAATAATATAATTTTTCCAGGTATCAATTTTTTCTTCAAGTAAAGCAAGACATTCTTCGTGGCAGACTACCTGTTTCTTTCGATCTTGCTGCTGAATTAGGTGCATACGTAGTTCAATGTAAGTATTGTACATAACTCATAAAACGAAAAATTTAAAAGCTACTGCATTGTTATCCATGACACGTTCAAATATCCCGATAAGTTTGATCCCCCGACGAAATATTCCTAAAAAAATATTTCTATACAAAAAAATTCCAATCAAAATTGTATGTCTGAATTTGGGTAAAGTTCCGTTCTGGGGACACCCCCGATTGGGATCAAACTTTGTATATTATATTATATTTGTTGTTCTTAGTGCAACATGAAAACCCCCTAAGAGATTTTTGTCGCAAATACACTAAGTTACACCTAAACTACACTACTACTAAGTCTACATTAAGCCCCCAGTGTAGAAGTAAATTATGGATAGAGTATATGTGACGATAGATGTCACGAGAATTGGTTCATTCGAAAAATTTTTTCATTTTTAGAATATTTTTGTGTTGGATTTTTTTAAGGAATATTTTGTCGGGGGATTTTTAAATATGGAACCTTGCTATTAAGTTTGTACTTCTCCAAGCATGCTAATCCTTATCATCTCAATATTCCTTCATGTACCGAGGACATATGTCTATGTTTAATGGAATGTGGCAATATACATTTATTTCTCTAAAAGTTGATGGAAATAAAAAGTAAAGGAAAAAGTAAAATAAAAAAGATAATGATAATGAAAATAAACAAAAAGAAAAAGAAGATTAAAGTAAGAGTAAAAGAAGAGCATCTTAGTCAGAACCACGGTTACACTTATCAACCACAAGATTCAAAGTCTCTTAACAAATAGAGATATGGCAATGTTTGCGTCTCATCGTGCATCAAAAGCTATACAGGAATGAATAGTGTCCCTGGTATACTTGACTGGATGCTGTAGCTCGTTGGGTCATTTGCTATGAAATTCCATAGCACGTGTATAAGAGATAAAGAAACTGAAAATCTACTAAATTGTACATTTCTGAATGCGACCGCGGATATTTGCTGACTTAAGATTACTTCAATCTTAGAGATAAGTTAAGTACATGGACCAAGATGATTTGCGGTCAAAAATTATAGCGGAAGTTAAATTATTTCTGTAATAAATGATTCTTTCATTCAAATATAATATTTCAAGTTCATTGTACTGGAGGAAGAATTTATGTAAAAAAATTTTTTGCTTTTCGGGCAATAATTTTAAAAATAAGTTTTTTAATGAACATCAATGTTGATATTGTAATTTTATTATCGAATAATTAAGTACTTCTGAGATAGACCCTTCTTAATTAAATTAAATGCTTAATTAATTTAAATATTTTGACAAATTGATTATTTTTAAATTTAATACTTAAAACTTAATAAAAGAACAATAGGTAATGAAGAATAAAATATAATTAATTAATGTATGACTGTCATCTAATCCAGAATATAAATAGATTGTTGAAATAATAAAAATGAAGTAAAATATTTTTTACACTTTATGAATGAAGTCTAAATTTTCTTAAGTCTGAATTTATTTCAACGTTTCACTAACAATCACCATTATTTTCAAGCAATAAATCAATATATATATTTAATAATATATTATATTATTATATATATATTTTTTTTAACCATATATTTAACAATATATTAAGTTAATTCTTACAATCTTAATATCAATATTAATTAATATGATAAACATCTTTTAAAATGTTGTTAAATTCTCTGTCACAGAATAATGTCAACTTCTTTAACAATTTTCATACTGATTTCAGAAGTATAGTTTTATAAAAAAATATAATTCAAAATAGTTAGATATAAAAAAAAAATATTTATCAAAAATGAAACCTTCTGTCAGCAGTAAATTATTTATTTATTGATTAAAAATGGTTAAATCGATCAAAAATGAATATCAATAACATGCATAAATATTTCTGTACCACTTAAAATCCATAAAGATAGTTCTTTTATCAATCAGATTATGAATTTATTGCATATTTCTTTAAATCACCAGTCGATAAATAGTATTTTGTTTCATTAAAATTCTTATATGAAAACCGTTATTTATTATTCAGAGTCATTTTACTGCTAGAAAATAATATTTCTTAAACTGCAATTTTTTTTATTCCCTAGATCTATTTAATACTTTATTCATAACGTCTTAGTAAAGTATTTCCCTGACATTTAATACATTATTTATCTCTCAGTACCTTATCTAAGTCTCTTTAACCATAATCTCCGTCGAGTCATTATTTCGCATTGAATTTTCTATATTCTAACTTGACTTCTATCTCTATTCCGACCGATATAAATCGAGTATTTGGACTCAATTGCACTGATATAATCGGTATAATAAAATGAGGATTCTACCTTTCTTCAATGAATAGCGTTGAATTAAGGGCATCATTTATTTTATAGAGATAATAAAGATTGAAAAATCTGGGTTACATTGAGAGGACAAATAGTTTCAAGAAAATCCTTCAAAAGAAATAAATAATGTAATTGAAATTTTTTTTACATTAAGTACTTCAACTGGATCCATTTGGTCTTGTTAATGCCAAGCTTTTGATAAAAAAAAAGTTCTATTTTGCATCAAGATGGAATTTATTATCAATAACATTAATTGGAATACATTTTTAGTTTATATAATTATTTCTCAAGTGATAATATATATTCTTTGGGAAAGAAGATTATTTATTTGAATTTTTTATTATAAAAAATGATTGATTTCAATGATTTATCATTGAATTTGATACTATTTTTTTTCTTTAAGATATTGGTCTGCAAGGTAATGATTAATATCTTCTTTATAATGACTTTATAATCACAACGGAGATCAACATCGAATTGGAAAAGTGATGAGTACTCGTCAGCATCTCAATTTTGATTTCATGCTCCAGATAGTGAATTAATGAATATGTGATCGAATATACAAGTTTAAAAATAATTGTGAAAATTAGTTTAAATTTTACACTATAATTTAAATGAAAGTCTTTGATGTGTATATTTTTTTTAATTATAAAAATACTTTACTTCATTAAATTATTAAATTTACAAATCATATTTTAACAATCACTAGTATTTTACCAGACTCTTTGTATCTTTGATTAAAAGTAATTTTGAACTTGAGTGAGCAATATGTTGATTCATTAAACAGCTATCTTTACAAAAATTTGAATTGTTTATTAAACAAAAGTAGAATACTGATGCCATCTTAATAATTTGATACACAAAGATTTGCTAAATTTTTTTTTAAAGTGAATTATGTAAAGATTTTCATTAAAAAATGGTCTGTTTTTATCATTTTTTGATACTTAAAAAATTTATTTTTATGGCAAATTTTTTTTTTCAAGGTCAAAGTAGTACTATTACTGTACTCTACTATATCTGTCCTTTTTATTTGTTTTTTCTTTCTGTCTGTCTTCGAGTACAACCTATTCTATTCAATCAAGTTTAAATGTAGTAAATAGAACCAGTTTGTCACAGTCAGATCTTCAGAGAATCGTGATATCCCTAGATGGCTAAAAATTTGAGGAATTGTTCTGAAGTTTACGAGAAATAATTCTTATCATAAAAAAGAGTGCTCCAATCTTGACTAAGGATGGAAATCTCTTTTTTCAATTATCTAGAAAACTATGCAAATTACAGAACAAATTTTGATATAAACATTAAAGATCTTTGAATTTTACATAAAGAAGGTCTTTGTACTTTACCCTTTATCTCCACAAGTTGAACATCGTTCAATTTTTTATTGATTCATTCTATATACCAAATTGTGTATTCTTTTTTCTCTTACTATTTCTATGTTTTACTCCACATCTGTACTCTAGTTCATTTATGGTCAGGTTTGAAAGATTTTTTTTAGAAAAAACTTAGATAAATGAACGAACAAGTAAATAAACATTTAAATAATTAAAATATTCATTGAGTTCTGTTCAATAAGTTATTTTAATACCTATTTGAAATCAAGTTGTTCTAATATTTATCTAAAAATATTAAATGTGTTACCTAAGTTCTGACTTTTTTAGAATAAACCTTCAAGAAAATTGATCTAGAGAAATAACTTCATATAATTTCATGAATATGCGTAATATAATAACAGTGTCTATTATTATAAACACAATATAACAGAAATAATAAAATTAATTATTGACGAATTATAGAAATACTAAAAAGAATCCATCATAATGACCTGTGAAAATATTTATAAATCCTTGCCATCTTAATAATCTGTTCGCAACATTTTTAAACCCTACTTATACTTAATTACCTCTTTTTCAATTTCACTCTTTTTGCAATTAATCACTTCTTTAAATGCAAACTAAATTTACACATTTCTTTTTAATCAGAAAATTATAGCCTGCAAGAAAGAAAATAACGATATTTAATTGCGATCATTAATGTCACTCTTCAGAATGAAACTGCCTGAAAAGAAAAGTAATAAATAATTGAATGTTAAAAAACAAAGCCAGAAATAAATGTTGAATCATTGTGATTACCTCAAGTTACTGGTGCACGCTATTTAAATTGTAATTTGTTTTTATCCTCATTAATTCTCAATCCATAATTGATCCACTTGATGTTCTTGATCTACACCTTCATGTTTTCTTTACAGCAAATGGCTGGTAACCATTTTCTACGCCAATTGCTTGTCATTAATCAGCATACAGTTTGATATAACAAGCAATTTGTAAAATTTATAACTAGCATTCTCATTGAATTAAGTGATCCGAGTATACGGAATGAAGTAATACCGATTTGTTTTTAATGACAATCATAAACTTTATTTTCATTTATTTTATTTTCCAGCGGAACTGGGTGATTATGATCCAAGGAGGCATTCGCCTGGCTACGTTACCGAGTTTCGATTCCTGACTAATCAAACAGCAGAGCTAGAGGCTAGAATAGTTGAACTCCATAAAACTTTTATGTATGTATATTTACTAATACAAATAATTTTGTTAAAAAATTTAATGTATGTTTTCTTTTTAACATCTTAAGCTGTTTAAATAACAAGAAAATTCTAGAGATTTTAATTAAAAAAGTTTAATAGGTGATTGAGAAGAAGCACGATAATGAACCTTTCATCACACTTCTATTAACTAAGTCGAGATAAAAAGGTTACTTCTAGCAAAAAGTAGCCATCTAATTGAGTGAAAAGAAATAAAGATTTTATTGAAGTATTTTTTTTTAAGATTAGAAAAATAAATAGTTTAATGTGGATGAGAGATTTTTAATAGATAAACTTTAAAAAGAAGAGTATTAAAAAATTATCAGAATTGATTTCTTAATTTTGTCAGTATTACTTTCTTGATGTCAAAATACAACTCTTGTCTATCAGGGATTTTTGCTAGTCATAATCAGTGTTATCAATCAAAAAATAATTATTTTATTCATGTATCGTATGAAATCTAATACTCTACACTTTTCGTTCTCTATGATTTCTCAAGTACAAATATTTTGCTACATTATATCTATATTATATTGTAACACATTATATCTATTTTATTGATATTTTAATTTTAACTCACACTCAAAAGATGAAACTCTATTTTCATCTCTTTCTTTTTATTTGCTATCTCTCGTGGATTTCGACTTTTGAGATCCATTTCATAGTTATTTACATTTTACATTACTTCAAAAAATGTATACGTATTACTACTATCTTATATTTAAATTAGTTTCTTTTATATTATCATCAATCTATTGAATCAGTAAATTACTTAATGATCTTGTTTTCTTATTTTTTAATGGCAGAAATGATAAGTAATTAATTGTTTATCTAACTTAGTTGGATTAACAGTTTTTAATTACACTTTTTTTAGAAAAATTATTCAAAATGTGTATGATAATAAGTAATCAATGGTTTGTGTTTTAACAGTGGTCAAGATCCTTCAATAGCTGAACTGAATTATTTGGACAAAGTCAAATGGCTTGAGATGTATGGAGTTGATTTACATCCAGTGTTAGTAAGTATCATAAAAGTATAGTGCAATTTACAAAGAATAATTATTCGTTTTAATTCAAATAAAGACTCGTCAAAAATTTTATATAAGAATAAATTTTCACCATTGTTTGAGGGTGAGGACAACGTAGAGTACTATTTGGGTCTGACCCCAAGTGGCATTATACTACTACGGAACAAAACCAAAGTAGGCAATTACTATTGGCCACGTATTAATAAAATATATTATAAGGTATGTAATGAAAAACTATTTTAAAATATTCTTTATTCATTTTGGATTTAAAGAAAAAATTATCAAAATATTCAATTATAAAATCATTTTTAGCAATTAAATCTTACTGCAAATGCTGAGTATGTACTTAAGTGGGTAGTTTTCTTCTAGTCATTTTTATGTACTTCTTAAGTGTCTCCTTTTTTTGTGACTTACTCTGAAGTATGATGACATAATCCGTTTTTTTAAATAAACTCGTACTATTCACTTTAGATCTTAGAGATAAATTCTTGATTAAAAACAAAGAATTAAAATTCAAAAAGAGATTTCACTGTTCACTATTTGACATTATTAACAGTAGTGAGTCAACATAATTTTTTAAATAAAAAATTTGGTTTCCAAGAACTCTATAAATTATAATTCATTTATGAAATTATTTCGAAACATTACCAGAATTATCTGTTACATATTATTGTTAATTCAAGATATTAAAATCAATTCGAATGTAAAGTTTGTAACGAAGTTACATTTTTAAGGCCGATATTATAGAAAATTAATTGGTCTGATGAATCGATAATCAGTAAAATCATTTTATCGACCCATGAGAAATAGCGCGAAATTTAAATTATCGGCGAAGCCTATTAATACCATGTATTAGAGAGAGAGGGTCATAAGAAACGTAATAGATCTGAGAGAGAGAGTAATTGTGATGATCTTGTTGCCATGACGACTTCCCCACGCAACCCACCACAATAGTGGTGGGGGATAGCAAAGTGGGCGGAGTCAAACAGTATAAAAGAGCTGGATTTTGCGGAGATCGTCACTTCACCTGTCTCCGAGGTACTAGACCAACGAGACCGACGAGAGTAGTAGCTCACGTCGTACAATACAGAGTTGTAGCTCTGGCTAAAGGGTTGTAGCCTTTTAGTTGCCCCGGAGAGTAGAAGCTTTCCGAAAATAGGAATTGGAGGGTTGAAGCCTTCCAGCCAAGAGTTGGTGCTCTTGGTTTTAGCTAGCGATCGAGAGTTGGAGCTCACGATCTTGAACCGTGTAGGAGTCGAAGCTCCTCGCTGACGAGTTGTAGCTCGTCAGCTATTCAGGCAAGGTTGTAGCCTTCCCTCGAAGAGTTGTTAGCTCTTCGAGTATCCCGGACGAGTTGTAGCTCGTTCTCACTTAGATAGGGTTCTAGAGTTAGAAGGTGAAGAGTCGTAGCTCACACCTATACCCCCTAGAAGAGTTGGAGCTCTTCGTCGACGAGTTGTAGCTCGTCGATTATTCAGGCAAGGTTGTAGCCTTCCCTCGAAGAGTTGTTAGCTCTTCGAGTATCCCGGTCTGGGTTGTAGCCCGACCAACGAGAGATTAGGCCACGGGGTAGACACTTCTGGGTGGGATTTTAAGATAGCAACTCTCTCTCTCTCGAGTATAACGGCACCTAAGTGAAAGTTTACTTTGTAAAACTGTACAATTGGAAATCTAGAATAGAATACATATATGTTGTAAATAGTTTATATAATAAAGTTGAAATTGGATTTTAATTGGTGTCTAGAGAATTTACTTTGTAACGCATCCGCCATAGAATCCTGGGCCATAGAATTTAGATAAATTGTTAAATTGGGGCGGGAATTTTCTTGGGGACTCGCCTTGAGAAAATTTAGGTGTTACAAGTTTCATAGCAATTATGTATACTTTCTCGTGCTGAAAAGTGTGTTATTTGTGATATTTTTACAAATTTGGACTAAATTATATACTTATGTGTATTATTCCATATATACAGCATTTGCAGTATTATCAGGGTGTCTCATAAATAATGTCGATTTTCAATGTACACTTTTTTTTTGGAAACCGACATTACTTATGAGACACCCTAGTATTAAGTAGTGTTATTATTAAAAAATTATTTAAAAAAATTTTATAATTTAGGGTAGATATTTTATGCTTCGTGTGAGCGAGAAAAACTCTGAAGAGCGTACGCATGGATTTGAAACCCCTTCGAAAGGTGCTTGTCGACATCTTTGGAAATGTTGTCAAGAGCATCAAGCATTCTTCAGATTAATGGCTACAGGACCACCCCCTATGAGTCCATATTCACGTTTTCGATCATACAGTCCACCTTCTGAAAAACATCAACAAGGTTCAATTCGACGAAATCCTCCCCCAGTTTTTCAACGTACTCCAAGTCGTCGTGCTCAACGACGAATAGTAGAAGGTCAGGAAATGGTGAGACCATTTATTGAAACACCTGCAGTCGATCGAAACACATCTATCAATTCTGCAAACTGCAATACCAGACACATTAGTAATTCCAGTCCCAGGAGTATTCGGAGCGCACCATGGACTCAATCTCGAAGTCTTTATACTTCTTCAAGTCCTCGATCTGTTCGGTCTGCTGGGACAGCTCCTGGAGTAAGTTTCATTTATTTATTCTCTTATTTGCTTTTAACAAAAATTCTCTACCAGAATAAATGTTGGTTGGGTTATATTTTAGTCAAAGAGAATTGGATAAATTTTAGTTTCAGATAATTACAGATATGACAGTTTTGAAATAGTAAAGAGAAATAAATGGATTTCGGAACGATTGTGACGTGAAATTTGTAATTTAAAAATTATTACAGAGTTTTACGTTTGATCATGTGATTTATTGAATGAAACATATTCCAGTTTTTAAATTATTGCAAATTTAAATTTATCATTTATATTAAATTATTAATAAATAGATACAAATGGAAGTATTAATAATAAAAGTAGTTAAAAAAAGTTTTACTCATGAATATCAAATAACGTATTCATAGTGTTTTTAAAAAATTTTTGAAATAAAGATATAAAAAATGATGTGGGAGAATAAATAATAAAATCGAGAGCAAATAGATGAAAAGATGGATTTTTAAAAAAAATTAAATAAAGTTGAATCTTTAAGATTGATAATTTTCTGTAAATGTCGACACAAAAAGTGGGAAAATGTCAATAACTCTTTTTTTTATTAAACTGGAAAACTTCATTCAAGGTTTATTTCTTCTTCTCAACAAATAATAGTCGTAATATTAAATTTTTAATCTCAACAAAAATAATGGCAAAGAATGTACAAATTAATAAAAATCTGTTGAATGGTAATGGCATCAAGATAAATATGATGAGAACAATAAGATTAAAATTAATAAATATATCTAAAATTTGCAAAAACTCTTTAGTAGTTTAACATTCAAGAAAATTTTACAATACTTCACTTAAATGTGTATAAAAAAATTTGTGTTTGAGCTGCTTTGCTTTAGAATAGGTTGAAACTATAATCAATGATATAAACAGATGCAGATATACTAGTCTATAATATTGATGTACTTTATTTACCTAATTTAATTTTAAAATATGTCTAAAACGTAAATTTTTTATTTTTTCATTTTGAATACTGAAAGTTTTTTAAATAATTGAAAAGAACATTAGGTACGGAAAGCAGATCTTAAAACTTTAATATTTCTATGCAACTGATAGATTTAATATTTCAAACAATTAACTTTAAAAAATACATGGCACTAATTGTTCGAAAGTGTATTAAAATATATATCACGTTGGTAGAATTTTATGTTATAACTCTCAGAGCACTAGCCTTAGTGTAGAACTTATCAGCGCAAATAGGGTCAAAATAACCCCAGGCACTTTTCAACTCACTATAACTTTGAAACTGTTGGACGAACAAGAAAATTTGTAAATATTCTTTATCTGATTAGAATGGAGTATCTTACAGCATTGTATAAGAGAAAGCTTGAAAAATAGTTTTCATAATACTCCATAGTATATTTAAATTTATTTATAAAATTACAAAATTTATTTTAATAATGGTGTTAACCATTAGAACAATTGTAAAACATTTTATAAATTGAGTTCAAAGGAATATTAAGAAGCAGTTAGTGTCATTGTATTGATCAATATTATTGGATGAATGTAATTATTATTAAAAATTTATAGAAACTTCACAGTTTTGTTGAAATTAAATTTTTTTTTTATTAAACTCATGCCAGGATATTGTTGCAGAGATTTTTATTACATCAGTTTTTGTAGTTTGAAGCATTTTATTTCATCAATCCATCATTCTTCGTATTAAATTAATTCCTTAGAGATCTTAGGAGAAAAAATTTTCACGATAAATTTCTTAAGCATTCACTTAAGCGAATATTCATCTTACAGGACAATTCAATATTTTTTTGAGCATATTATAAATATTTCAAAGTTCTGCAACTAATAAATACCAAGAAAATTTTATTTTAAAATTATCGAATAAATTTTTAAAATAGTATTCATTTTTTTGTTTTTACTGTACGTAAGATTTTATAATGAAGATATTCTTTAAAGAGATGTCTCGGAATAAACGATAAATAAATTCTCACGCAAAACGTTATAATAAATTGAATTTGATAATATGAATAAGAATATTGTAAAATATGACGTAACATTAACTCAAAGAAATATTAAAAAAGGTTTAAAACCTTTATTAAATGAAATAGCAAATCTTTTATGACAGGGAAAATCTCCAGTAATATTTCTATATTTACAAATCTACCTTCTAAAATAATACAAGTTACCCTAAATTACGTTAAACAGTTTATTCAATTAAAGAAACACTGATGAAAAGATGTATTCAAAAAGAGACAAGATCTTTGACGTTAATTTACTATAGAAGGTTTCAAGATAATATTTTCATTGCTGATGAACAGTTGAAATCAAGAAGTCGAGTTAAACTTTAGAAACCAGCAATTCAATGAAAATACATAGTATTACAATGATTGAGAGAACAAATTAAAAGGAATAAGTTCGTCATTGAATTCTTTTTTATTTTTCTCATTTATTAAACTTTTTCTCATCAATTTTAACTGGAATTGAACATAGAAATCAAAATTCTATGATATTCACAAATGAAAGTGAAATTAATTAGTATAAAATCATGAAGCAATCAAAACAAAGCTACGATTTCAATCTTAAAAAGTGAATTCATAAATTCAAATATATTTATTAGAAATGGAATCAAGAATTATTTTACTATTGATCAAAAAGACTTTCAATTAATTTTCAAGTCTAATTTTTATTCAATATGAATTCAGAAGGTAGTCCTTACTTTTATCTATGATGTTTAAAGGACTTTAATGAATTGATTTTTATTTCCTTAATTTTACATATATTTTATAGTTTTGTAAACAATTTCAAGAGATGAAAATATCTCAATCTGATTTTATTTCATCAATATTTGATTTGGATAAAGTAATACTTTCAATAGCATCTTCAAGCCACGCTTCATTGTTCAACAGATTTATTTTTGTTAATAAATAAATTATTAAGGTAAAAGCATCAATGCTCTATACTGGAAATATAAAATATTTTCTACCAAAATTTTTCAATTAGATCAATTTTAAATAGACTAATTTTATGCTTAATATAATTAATAATGTGTGCAAATTCGCAAAAAATACTGGTGACCATGACTTTTATTTTTTTCTTGCATATCTTTTAGGAGACTAGAGTTTTTATACAAAATATAAATATTACAAAAATAATTTAATTCAATTGCAAAATGACCGTTATCCCAATTCAATAATTTTACTTTTCATTATTATTTTTCAATACAATTTTATGTTTAAAATGTTAAGTATTGGTGTATTTATCCTTAATTAATATTTTAATAATAATAAAAGACTTTATGTTCTTCAAAAGTGAAATTAACAATTTCATTCACAAATAGATATTACTATTGGAAATACAAGTGCACTTAAAGTAATATAAGTCCTTGACAAATCATGCTTTTAGATTTTAAAGACGCTTTTTTCCAAACTGTCTAGGATCATTCACAAACTTTACCTCAAAAGGTCAAAAGTTTAGCTTCTCTTTGTGGTTATACGGAATTTATTCATTTTACTTTGCTATTGAGATTCTAAATAGATTAAATTTTTGAAACTTATACTTTTCTCATATTTACAGATGCTTAACCGAATACACAGACGAAGCAGTTCCGTGGAAAGTCAAAGCTCCGGTGACAGTCATAGTCGTAGTGGTCATCGTAGAAGAAGTCATAGTCATAGTCACAGACGTCATAGTAGACATTCAGATTGTGAATCCGAACTCTCCAGAGGATCTGATAGTAGATCCGGTCATCGGAAGCATCGCCGGAAGCATAGAAGCTCTCGAAATTCACGGTAATTTCCTTATATTGGTTCCTTTGTTGATGAGATTACTTCTCTCATTGATCTTAAATACGTTACTGATATTTATATTTTTTTTAGCCATGAACTGGTTGATTCAGAACCACAATGGAGAGAAGTTCAAAAACAAAAGGCTGAAGGAGTCCAAAGAGCAGTGGTAAATGTAAACCAATTGAAAGATGTAGATTATAATTAAAGTTGTTCTAAAATAACATCATTTGAAAATATTTCCTTGCTTAATATTAACTTATTCGATTAATTTTAATCAAACTATATAGATGTTGATGATGAAAATTATGTTATCAATTTTATTGCGTTACAATAATTGGTAGTATTAACAGCATAAATTTTATTTTACTTTTGATACTATAATTTATTAACTCTTAATTGAAATTCATTTGAAATCTTCCTATTGTATGATACTCCCTAAAAACAGAACATTTCATTTCTTAAAGAATATAAAAATTTTATGGCTTTAATAAAACAGATATAACATTAAATAACACTTTAATAACTGATGAACGCTTGTGGTAAATCAAAAGAGTTATAAAACTTTTTTTTCTGCAAAAATACTAGAATTTGTTTATAACTTAATTATATCTAACTAAAGAATCGTTTTTGATTGCATTTTTGATTAGAAAAAAAAGTAATAAAGTAAATATGCCCTTTGTATTAAGCTTAAAAGTTACTATAATAATAAAACGAGTTTTGATGATAAAAATATGTTGATTAGTATTAATAGTATTAATAGACAGAAAAAATTGAAATTTATCTGACTATTAATAATTTTAGGTAAGTCATACGGAACCAAGGAGACGTCACAGAAGTAGGCATAGAAGTCCGTCACAAAAATTACCACACGAACTTAGAAAGTGAGTTTTTGTTTTTGAAATATATTAGAAAGACTGATCATATTAATTTGTGTTATTAAAAATTAAGAATAAATAATAAATAAAATGTTATAAAATAAAACTAATAAAGAAGATGGTGATAATTAGCACCTCATATTTGATATCATTGATCTTGACTTCATGAATTATTTAATTATCATGATCATTCGTTCTATATAATATGAATGAACAATAATATTTAATTTAAAAAAAATGTAACAATATTTAATGTTGAAAGTATTGTTTCAGACATTTCGAGTTTGGGCTCATCGATACAACAGGAATGACTGAGCAACAACGACGAGAAATTCCTTATACTGTAGTACAAACGCAAGCAATCTCTCAAAACTATTCATTGTCTAGTAATTTACGTTTAGACATTGATACAACATCTTCAGTTAGGTACGATGATCTCAAGAAGACATCCACACACTTCAGCCATCCTCCAATGGAGGATGAAACTGGATCTATAGTCATTGTTTAAAAGAATAATTACAATAAAAATCTATCATTATCGTATTGTGCATGAATCATAATTATTAATTAAAATTTAATTTTATTAATTTATTTCAAGCATGTAAATTATTTAATTGATAAGCATGCCCTTATTTATTTGAAGCATGAGTACTGTAATAAATTACTGATTAACGACAGTCGTATTGCACCTGTGTATTTATTTCCCACGCTAGTGCACTATCATGGATCATGGTTGTGGTATACCACAGAGATTAAGTGATTTTCATTATTTTCATCAATTTAAGAAAATGAATGAATAAAAAAAATTAAAATATGTAAAATTCAAACAAAAAAAAATCAATATTTTTGTTAATAAATATTTATGGCAATGGTAAATAAATTGAATGTAGCCAAAGATTAACTTTCAGAGCTATTGGAACTTTCGACAAGAAGGATAAACATGTTCCACATAGACGCGAAGGAAATTATGATTTACTATCGACACGATCCAGTGGCTTTGAACCAAATTACACTACAACGCGAACTTTTCATAATCAAAGGAAGGATTATGATTCCACTATGCGTAATAGCAGAATATTGATTGGAAGTAATGCTGACAGTGGATTGGGTGAAAGTACAACCCAGGATTTTTCAAGTTGCTGTTCAAGTTCTGCTGATAGCACAAAAATAACAAAACCGGTATGTTTTATTAACTATCCGTATGAAAAAATAACTGAATTAATTTACAAATAACGTGTGTATATCTTACCTCAGTCTCAACAATTTATTGATAGTATAACAGAAAAAAACATAATATTATAATAACATATTAATCCATTCATCGTGGAAGACTAATGAGTATTTAATATTTTTCCGATCAACAATAATTTACAACAGTTATGAGTCTCATGGTATTTTTTTAAGTAGAAAAGCAATAATAATCATTAGTAAGAGCTCATGAATTTTGAGACAAACTATATCAGACAAAATTTAAAATGATATAATATACTTTGAACATAAATCGGAAGTTATAAAATAAAACATATATCATTTAAAAACAAAAAAATCTATTGAGCAATATTATTTGACTAATTTCGTTACAAGTAGAATGGTTTATAAAAATTCAAGAACTCAATCGTAATTATATTCGTACATATAATTTATAAATAATTACTTTAGTGATGTAACTTACTTTAATGTAGCCACATCTACAGCTTAAGAGCGAAGGAATTTATGATCTATCTTCAAATCAAGAAGTTTTGCCAATTGATGCAACTTTAGATGCGGTTCTTCAACCTATATTATCGTAAGTAATAATACATTTTTATTTTTATTCTTAATGATTATTTTTAACAATATAAATAATCATTAAAATAAAATATAATGTACAAAATAAATTAAAATAATAATGAATAATAATAAATTTTTCAATGTTATAGGACTCTTACAAGACGGCCTAAAAATTTCACAAAATGAATCTGGATCCTCTGCCTTTATATCATGAAATGTTCAATATTATAAATTATTCGTTTTTTGTACATTTTCATGGATTTTTAACAGTAAAAAATTCCTAGTATATTATGATAAAATATCACAAATCCTACTAGTCATAGGATTAATAAAGAACTCATGCTAATCGATACGATTGTGTTTTTATTAAAAATATAATCCCAACTTTTCCCATATGTGTATGATTTAAACTTCTTTAGATGCCATATGCCTCATGAGATGGCCTATGAATTTTTCCATTTTTTTTAAATCCTGAGCAATCTCTGTTTTGTATTGTAGACACTGTAAGAAGATATAAAATAAATAATATTGATTTTTATAAAATTACACAATTTTTTTTACAATTGTTTGAATAGAAATTTCGAAAACATTTACCGTTCGATTGTCTGTAAGTTTTAAACACAAAGTTCCTTTATTGTGACAGTATTTCATAGTATAACGTGCCTGGAATTATGATGATTAAATTAATTTTCAAAAACAAAAATTTATTATAAAATAGATAGAATAGTAATGAGTCGATTATATTATAAACACTATTATATCTATAATATTGATTAAACAATTAAACAATTACTTTTAATGGATCTTGGAGATATAACCTCTCTGCACCTTTTACAAATTCTTCCCATGAATTAACATAAGTCATGTTTATAATTTATTTACACTTTGCACTTATGAACTTTTTTGCAATTAATAATAGTCACAATACTACAATTGTACGTTGATCCAATTACTTTAATTTACGAGTAAAAAATATGCGTAAACAATTGACTCCGGACTCGGCCAGGTGTCATGGAGTAGTCCAGAATATAGATCTGACCTAGTGAAACATCAAGAAAATTACCGATTATCGGTATGTAACTTTAACTGTTGGTATAGTAGAATTCATTAAGGCTGGGCTGAAGTCAGAAAGGCGACTGATTCCCCCTATCCAAATATATGGGTTCGGGAAATTTCTAATTTCTTCGCCAATTTACGATTATTTCTATAAAATTAGGTACCAAATTACAGAAAAATTAATGCCGGACTGACGTAAACAACAATTTTTTGTATATAGTGAATATTTTTATTAAAAAAATTAGAAAGAATAATGAAAAAATTATGAATTGACTTGCCGCGCTTAAATTTCAAGATGGCGGCCACATCATTCAGATGAAAAATCACTAATTATTTCATTTTTATACGTTTTTCGCCCAAAATTCGTGTTTGCGTCAGTCCTTGCCACCTGTCTGAATGTCAAAAAAATCAATTCATAGTATAAAATTGAATAATTTAGAAATAATTAGAAATCTTGTATTCCAGATGATATTCTCCGGAAAATTAGTTTGAAAAAATTCTGATAGGTGACAGCATTATGCTCGCAGATGACCTCAGTCATTCATATTGAAAAAATGCTCAATCCGTATCCAGAACTGATGGTGCCCTGCATTTTGGCGAGTAAATTCTGTATGTGTGTGTACGGGTAATATATGTATGTGATGTAAACATAGTGTATCACTTTACAATGCCTTATACTTTGATGACTATTGCAGTTAGAATAAATAAAAATGATGATACTCATTTAACATTAATTAATATAATACCTGAAAATAACTTCAACAAATATTCATCCATTATTATCATTTTTATTAGGTATAAATGTTAATCAAAAAGCTCAATTCCGAGTCGGCGTATCCAAGCATGTAGTATAAAAACAAATACACATAAACTCAATATCGAGATTATGCTGGCCATGTGGTTAGAGCGTCAGAGTTCTATTTTGCCGGGCAGGGTTCGATCCTAGTCATAATCACTTTTTTTTCTACTTTATTCGTTAGATTAGCATGTAATTATAATATTGACATGCCATAATTGATCCATTATAATGATTTGATTTTTTTTTCTCTTTACTCATTGAATTTATTGACACTAAGTCAGAAAATATTTGAACAGAGCCATAAACTTTTTTTTTGTATAAATGCATTGATAATAGCCTGTGTTTAAGGCTGGGCTGAAGTCAGAAAGTTTCCCGGAGTTGACTTTACGCCCTCACGTTGTGCGGCGAAAAGCCGAAGCTCGATATCAATTGAAATTGAGTAGGTAACAGAGAAATCGTTCGAAAAATGATAATTTTCAGGGATGCACTACAAAAAGGGAGCCTTAGGGTACCAAGAAATTTACAAATTTCAGAATAATCTGTTCCGAGCAAGACAGAGCACAAAATATATCTATCTATCTCCGTCTTATTTTTCAGAGAAGACTGCGAGTTCGAACAGTTGACGAGCAAGCACATTCCCCACCCTCTGTTACTAAGCCTGAAGCTTACGATATCTAAACGTAAACAAAGCAAATGAAAATATGCTAGCTCTATAGTCAGAAGGTTCGCCAGTTATTTTACCGAACGGTGTTCGATTCCAATTGCGGCAAAATTTTTTTTTTATTTAAATTGCATGTAATTGCAATTTTATCATGCCAAACATGAGTTTTAAATTTCAATTTTTATGTAAAATTTTTTTTTCAATTAATCAATGACAAATGAGAAAATATTTGAACAGGGCCATTAACCTTTTTTTGTACAAATACATTGATAATAGCCTTTTTTAACAACTTATTAACAATAAAAAATTGTTTAAACAATCCGCGGCGAGTTCCGATACTTCGCCGGCAAGCTCGACCCCCACTTTCTGTGCCCAAGCCTGTAGCTTATAATTTTCAAGCATCGTTTATATAATTGGAACTATAATAGCTCAATGGTTAGAGCCCCGACCTTTTATTTTGCTGGGCAGGGTTCGATCCCAGTCATAGGCAATTTTTTTTTCTGTTTCTTGTTCAAGTGACTTTATATACTTATAAATTAATTCATATATTTTATTACATTATTCTTCCAATTAATTACGAAAAAAAACTTGTTTTTCTGAAAATAAGCTGAGGGTGAGAAACGAGTTACTATGAATTCTCTTTCTTAGAAAATGTTGTCTTTAAAAGACACTAGGAATTGATTTTGAACTTATACAAACAACCAATTATTGTATTTATATAAAATTTTAATGAAAAAAAAAAATTGGCTATAACTGGGATCGAACCCTAATCGGTAAAATGAAAGCTTGGTGTTCTACCTACAGAGCTAACATATTATCTCTGACATCATGTTTATGTTTATAAATTGTATAATGCAGGCTTGAGTACGAAAGGTGGGGATAGAGCTTGCCGGCGAAGTGCCGGAAATCCCCGTGGATTATTTCAACTACTTCTAAATATTTCTAAATTGCTTAAAAAAAAGCTACGTTCATATAGATATAGTAAAAAAAGTGTTTATAACCCTGTTCATGTTTTCCGACTCGGCGTCGATAAATTACATAAATAATTGAGAAAAAAAAATCAAATCGTTGGTAAGAATTCATTTTAGCATGTTAATATTATAATTACATGCAAATCTAACAAATGAAAAAGAAAAAAAAACTTTATCATGACTGGAATCGAACCCTGCCCATCAAAATGAAAGACCGATGCGCTAACCACCGAGCTATTATGATTACAAAACATTTATATATGCTCAAAAATTATAAGCTGCAGGCTTGGGCATAGAGAGTGGGGGTAGAGCTTGCCAGCGAAGTGCCGGGACTGGCCACGGATTGTTTAAACTACTTTTCAATGTTGATAATAATATGATTAACTTGTTAATAACATAACATTGTTAATACATGTAAAGATGTATCAGTTGTTAAACACAGGCTATTATCAATGTATTTATACAAAAAGAAAGTTTATGGCTCTGTTCAAATATTTTTCGACTTAGCGTCAATAAATTCAATGAATAAAGAGAAAAAAAAATCAAATTGTTATAAAAGATTAATTATAGCATGTCAATATTATAATTACATGCTAATCTAACGAATAAAGTAGAAAAAAAAAATTGGTTATGACTGGGATCGAACCCTGCCCGGCAAAATAGAACTCTGACGCCCTAACCACATGGCCAGCATAATCTCGATATTGAGATAATGTATATTTGTTTTCACACTACATGCTTGGATACGCCGATTTGGAATTGAGCTCCCTTATTAACATTTATACCTAATAAAAATGATAATAATGGATGAATATATGTATTTGAAGTTATTTGCAGGTATTATATTAATTAATGTTAAATGAGTATCATCATTTTTATTTATCCTAACTGCAATAGTCATCAAAGTGTAGGGCATTGTAAAGTGATACACTATGTTTACATCACATACATATATTACCCGTACACACACATACAGAATTTACTCGCCAAAATGCAGGGCACCATCAGTTCTGGATACGGATTGAGCATTTTTTCGATATGAATGACTGAGGTCATCTGCGAGCATAATGCTGTCACCTATCAGAATTTTTTCAAACTAATTTTTCGGAGAATATCATCTGGAATACAAGATTTCTAATTATTTCTAAATTATTCAATTTTATACTATGAATTGATTTTTTTAACATTCAGACAGGTGGCAAGGACTGACGCAAACACGAATTTTGGGCGAAAAACGTATAAAAATGAAATAATTAGTGATTTTTCATCTGAATGATGTGGCCGCCATCTTGAAATTTAAGCGCGGCAAGTCAATTCATAATTTTTTCATTATTCTTTCTAATTTTTTTAATAAAAATATTCACTATATACAAAAAATTGTTGTTTACGTCAGTCCGGCATTAATTCCTCTGTAATTTGGTACCTAATTTTATAGAAATAATTGTAAATTGGCGAAGAAATTAGAAATTTCCCGATCCCATGTATTTGGATAGGGGGAATCAGTCGCCTTTCTGACTTCAGCCCAGCCTTAACAACTTATACATCTTTACATGTATTAACAATGTTATGTTATAAACAAGTTAATCATATTATTATTAACATTGAAAAGTAGTTTAAACAATCTGTGGCGAGTTTCGGCACTTTCCCGGCAAGCTTCACCCCCACTCTCTGTGCCCAAGCCTGCAGCTTATAATTTTTAAGCATATATAAGCGTATTGGAACCATAACAGCTCAGTGGTTACAGCATCGGTCTTTTATTTTGCTAGGCAGGGTTCGATTCCAGTCATGATAAAGTTTTTGTTTTCTCTTTTATTTGTTAGATTTGCATGTAATTATAATATTAACATGCCAAAAGTAATTGTTTACAACGATTTGATTTTTTTTTCTCAATTATTTATGTAATTGATCGACGCCGAGTCGGAAAACATATGAACAGGGTTATAAACACTTTTTTTACTATAGCTATATGAACGTAGCTTTTTTTTAAGCAATTTAGAAATATTTAGAAGTAGTTGAAATAATCCACGGGGATTTCCGACACTTCGCCGGCAAACTCTATCCCTACCCTTCGTACTCAAGCCTGCATTATACAATTTATAAACATAAACATAATGTCAGAGATGATGTGTTAGCTCTGTGAGTAGAACACCAAGCTTTCATTTTACCGATTAGGGTTCGATCCCAGTCATAGCCAATTTTTTTCTTCCTTTTTTTTTCATTAAAATTTTATATAAATACAATAATTGGTTTATATAAGTTCAAAATCAATTCCTATTGTCTTTTAAAGACAACACTTTCGAAAAAAGAGAATTCATAGTAACTCGTTCCTCACCCTCAGCTTATTTTCAGAAAAACAAGTTGTTCTCCGTAATTAATTGGAAGAATAATTTAATCAAATATATGAATTAATTTATAAGTATATAAAGTCACTTAAGCAAAAAAAAGAAAAAACAATTGCCTATGACTGGGATCGAACCTTGCCCAGCAAAATAAAAGACTGGTGCTCTAACCACTGAGCTATTAT